AGTTATAAATTCCAATTCCTGCGAATAACGAACGAATTTCCAAGTGCAGTTCCGGTAAAAAGGGCAACCTATTGCCCCCATGCTGCCCCCGCACTGTTTGGGCAGTGTGTGTGTGTGTGTGGGGGGGGGGTGTATTTGCCCCCGCTGCCCCCGAGGCTCCGGCGCCCCCGTCCTTGAGTTTGATGTGATCCGTTAATATGACATGAGTTGATTTCGATAATGTTCGAGCGAGGGCCCTATTCTCGATCCTTCTGTTTACAGGTATATACTACAGTGCTACGAAGTAATTTCTCAATCCGAACAGACGTCAAAAATTAAAAGATCACTAAATGATTTACGTATATAGCCTATATGTGATGATCTACGTTCGAACACCTTGCTTAAGTTACGAATGAAAGCGATATTTCACAGTCGATCGCTTGCATAATCTCTTGAATCTTGAGTGAAACAGCTGAACTTGAGTGAAGCAGTTCTTTAATTTATGCTGTTAATTCTTATAGGACAAGGAGAGAAATAACATTGTATGTATAAAATATGCTTGTTTCAGGCATGAGTTATATGAACTTATATCATTTTGTTTAATCGCGCACAAATAGTGTTAGGATTAGAGAAGGGGTTGGGTTTGGGGTGAAGATCAAAGAGATAAATATTCGTGCGCGAAACATGAGGATATTGGCCAGATATGCATTATGCTGTCAATTAATTAGGATAGGGGATCTGACGCATGCCTGCAAAAAGCACAAGAGGAAAGACATGTATCTAAAGTATCACTGTTCCTGCTCAAGTCAATTATAAGATAGGGGATCTGAACGCAGCATGCCTAAACCGACAACGTCATGCAACGGAGCCATTTTCAAAACCACAATTATGGTTGGCATATTTGCATTGAAATGCAACTATATATTCCAATGATTTTGCTGCATCGTCATATTTTTTCTATTTCAGAATACCTTAACTATTAACATTATATTCATATAAATGACTCGACTGAATTTCCACTAAATATTGAAGCTGAACAGCTTCTCCAATGAAATTATAACCAAGTTCAGGGGATAATTGATCATGAGTCAGGAGAAAATGATAACCAGATTCATGCAGAATTGCTTGACGTCGCACACCCAGTATAATTGTAGTTGTTTGATGAATATTATATAGTGGGTTGGGTAACTTTAAAAAACACTTAGTTAAAAAATACCTTTAGTGGCTTTAGTAAATGAAAATTGTGATCATTTTCAGGTCACACAGGCATTCTAATCGACATATAGCCTATGTAGCAATATAGATATTGTAGCCTAATTTAAACTATTTATTTATTTTTTACTGGACCGCAAATGTAAAATGCTGGTTCACCAGTAAATATGTATAACCTTAATAAAGTTTATAATTAAAGTTCATAAAGTTTCACAATTTCTAAAACCTGTGGTGGTGGTGCATGGTGGTAGTGTGGTGTGGGATGCCCTAGACAGTGTTTCCATTCATGATTCTTCATCATGTTGTGTATTGTAGATATATGTATATATAGGATATTCTTTCGTTCCTCATGCATCGTAATACCAAACAGAACTTAATATAATTATTGAAATAACCGAATTCACCTCAGCAAGTCATTTGGTATAGTATAATATATAAATATATAATATAACAATTTCTATTCACCCATACACAAGACCCATACACAATAAAACAAGTACAACATATGCTGACTTCCTTTGCTCATAGACATAGAGCTGATAAACAATCACTGCGTACGGTCCGTCAGCAGAAAACGTCAGGTCGCGATTGGTCTAATCCTATAACATTGAGGTGCATGCATGATATAGGGATTAAACTACCGGCCTGAAAAATATTTTGTAGTGTATTTTTCAGGTATAGTTGAATCCCTATCCATCTCAATTTTCTGGTGTTTTTGTGACTACCTATACGCTGCATGGCCCAGACCGTTCGAATTCGGCAAACCCATGACCAGCTTTGCCGGCTTTGCTGGAACCCAGTTGGTGAAAACAATTGGTGGAACAATTTTTCTACCAGAACCCTGTTTTCAGTGCATCCGCATGTAAGTTCTCTAACCAGTACGTCAAGTTGAACAAAATTTCTATACTGGCTGAGATTTTACCAGTAGGCCTAAATTTTGTATTAAAGGATGCAGGCTAATGATTCAAGCACGTTAATACGTTATACGTATAAAGAACAGTCCGAAAATAAGTAAAACACACACCAAATCATTGTGGGAGAATGGGTTCAGGGTGTCGAAGTGAACCAATTATATACATTACTCTTAAACTCTGGTTAACCCAAGACCAAGTAGCCAATGTCGAATTAACTGTGCATGCGTAATTAAAACAATTAAAGTTATAGATAATAGAGGGAAATCGAGTTCGGAGCGGACAATAACGAACGTACAGGAAACGCATATAATTATATACGTATGCATGTGACCTATATATTTGATGTCTATAAGATGATTTGGAGGGGAAACTTACCAAGTGGGAAGTGGATAATAACAATAAAGGTATAGGGGAAACGAAGAACTGTGTATGCGTGTCGTATATTGCATGTAGCTACAGGCTGCATGCTAATTACATCATCCATGAGAAACAGGATACTGACAAGCATTAATTGGATGTATCAAGTAAATACTATATATATTGCGGATCATTGCCAGTTTCAAGAGTAAGAGTTGAGAGTTATAGTTGCCGATGTACAAGAAGGAAACAAGTCGATCAAAGGTAAAATTTTTATAGACTTAGACAAGAATATTTATATCACATCTACCAGTGCTGATGCCTGTGGCAGTGTGGCCTGGGGTTCACTGATAGTTTAGATTTGGTAGCGTGTAGCGCTCTAGGCCTATACATATTGCAAATATGCCATCTCATGCAATCTTGTTTCACTTTGGCAATTAGATTGTATGAATGAGAAAATATAAAACTATAGAGGTATGTGATAGTCAAGTTAGTTGCAAGAGAATAATGCCACTAGCATGATATTTAACAGCAGTTTTTGGTTGCTTTCCTAGATATTTACGAGAATGACCTATTTGAGGTGTGCGTTCGCCCTTGTTCTCATGGTAAGTATTTAAATAATTTTTATCTTACAGAAGTTATAAATGTTTGCATCCTTTAAGTTTGCACCAAATTTTTACGCTATGCATTTCGAATATGCTTTACAAAATTATATAGCTAATACATACCTTATTGATACAATGATACCTATAAGATTGAAATTTACAGCAGACCGCAAATGGCAAACTTCAGTCTTAAAACCGACTTCAAACCGTATTTAAACAGTTGGCTCAACAGTTGGCTGGTTGAATTAAGGTAGTGTAATTTGTGTGTTAAAATTGTAGCATGAGTAAGGTAGCTACTTAGCTAGAGAAATCTTGTAGAGTTTGTAGAAAGTATACCATCAAATACGATTTAAGTTTGAATGTTCGGCGTTTGCGGTTAGTGATGAGGGATTTTTCAACCGTTACTATAAAAATGCTTAAAAAGCCATAAGACTAATTAGGATATAGACCTTCCAGTAAATAAAAAGAAACTTTCATTTATGAATACTAACAGTTTAATAATTGTGTAGTCAACGGAGAATTTTAGAAAGCTTGAAAAAAGCACAGTTTGCTGTACTGAATATAGCGATATTCAGCCTTCGTACAACCGACCAAGTTTAAGATGAAACATTAATGAGCCATTGAACCGTGCTTGTCATGGTCATGACATAACACATGCACGTCCAATATTACATGCATGACTAATGTATAATTTTCCATAGGGGAACATATGACTCGTTTCGCTTTATTTCAACTTCTACAGCCAGTTTCCTTGCTACAAATATCTCCAACCCAGTAATGAAATTATTTTCTGTTTTTACATCTTGTGTATACTATAATCCTTTTTAATTAAATGCAACATTCTTAAATTAATTATCATATCTCTTCTTGGGCTTTAGTTGCATGACAGCCCGGAATGCATGAGTTGCGTTGAGTGCATGCACTTCCAGACTGTCACTTACGTATTAAAGTATTTGTACGCTCATCAAGCTTTTTCGATTTCCCCTCCAAATATAGGTTGAGCGTTTCTTGATACCAAATTATACCTCTAATCTTTTATTACTCTCTCTCTCTCTCTCTCTTATGGAAAAATATATTCATGACTGTACTAGATAAACATGCGCCATTCAAAAGCAAGCGAGTACGAAATAAAAACAATCCTTGGATGACTCCTGAAATAAAAACACTTTTGATAAATCGTGACAAACTAAAAAGAAAAGCGGTGATTTCTAATGATACAGATAATTGGCTTCAATTTAAACTTGCCCGAAATAAGTGTAATAATATGCTGAAAGAAGCAAAAAGAGATTACTATCACCGGTTGTTTGCAGTCAACAAAGGAAATACCAAAGAAATTTGGAATACAATAAATGAGCTAATGTCCCGAAGCTCGAAATCTCAAAATATTTCTTCTCTTTTAATAAACAAAAAAGTAGTCACAAACAATACTGAAATAGCTGAATGTTTAAACCAATATTTTGCTGAAATAGGGTCCAAATTAACAAACAACGTATCACCATCTACCAATGGCAAAGCTTTTCATCATTATGTGCAACCAGCTGCCACTGGAACGATGTTTATATTACGCCCAACTACTTCGGAAGAAGTTATTAAATTAATTTCCTCAATATCTGATAAGAAAGCTACAGGTCTAGATCAAATTCCGAGTAAATTACTTAAACTCTCTGCACCTATAGTTTCGAAATCATTGTGTGATATTTTTAATTTATCCATTCAAACAGCAATATTCCCTGATGACTGGAAATTGGCAAAAGTATCCCCTATATACAAAGGCGATGCAAAAGATAATGTAGGGAATTACAGACCAATTTCAGTTTTAAGTGCAATTTCTAAGGTTTTCGAGCGTATTGTTTTTGATCAGCTTTACACCTATTTCAATGAAAACAATCTGTTACACAAGAATCAATCAGGCTATAGGAAGTGCCACTCTACTATGACTGCTCTAATAGATGCCACTATTGAATGGCTTACAAACATGGACCAGGGAAAGCTTAATGCGGTTGTTTATATTGATCTAGCGAAGGCATTTGATACAATAAGTCACGAGATATTACTTGAGAAACTCCACATTTACGGGGTTGATGCAAATAGTTTATCCTGGTTTCAATCCTATTTACAAGATCGCAAACAAAAATGTTATGTGAATGACGTTCTATCTGGCGAACGTACCATTAATTGTGGTGTGCCTCAGGGGTCAATTCTTGGACCGTTATTGTTTCTCATATATATAAACGATCTTCCTCAGTGTTTAAAACATTCTACAGCTCGAATGTACGCTGACGATACAAACATAACAACGACAGGAACATCTATTCGAGAAATAGTAACACATGCTAATGATGACTTAAATAATATAAGTGACTGGCTGAAAGCAAACAAACTCAGCCTTAACGTGACCAAAACTGAGTATATGTTCATTGGATCAGATCAAAATCTTGACAAGTTAAGAGATGTACCACTACTATTTCTTGAAAACAAAGCGATAAAAAGGGTCAAAGCAACCAAGTCATTAGGGGTACATATTGATGAAAGGCTAACATGGCATGAACATATTCAAAATATTTCAAAAAAAGTAGGTGCTGGAATTTCAGGTTTACGGCGGGTAAGGGAGTTTGTCCCATTATCGACATTGGTAACAATTTATAGCTCATTAATACAACCATTATTTGATTACTGCGATGTTGTTTGGGACAGCCTTCCTGCTGCTGGTGCCAGCATTCTACAAAAGTTGCAAAATCGTGCCGCTAGGGTTATTACTCATCAAGGTTATGATGTCAGATCCAATGAAATAAGGAAAACACTAAACTGGGAAACTCTTGCAGAACTGCGAGACACACACAAATTAACTATGATGTATAAGATAGTAAACAATTTGGCACCAAAGTATTTAAGAGACCATTTTGAAATGTCTGCCATAGATAATTTTTATACATTAAGAAATAGAAAATTATGCCTTGTACTACCAAAGCCTCAAACTGAATATTTAAAGAAGAGCTTTGCATTTTCAGGGGTAAAATTGTGGAATACTTTACCAGAAGATGTAAA